CCACCGTAGCCAGGAATAGCGGGGCCACCGGGGACTGGGGGCCGTCTCTTTGTTACTTTCTTGATAGGGGGGTATTTGCCATAGTTGCGACGCTTGGCGAGCGGGTTGGCAACCGCAGGTTTTTTTATTGTAATTTCGGCTACTATCAGGAAGATGCTGCTGCCCATCTCCTGCCTGTTTCCCTTTGTCACCTTTTACGACACCCATGGGAAGATATGGGGTAGTGGATATTCTTGACCGCCACTACATGCTATATGTTCTTTTACGCGGGTTTTAATAGATATTTTTGTTTATCCTGTGTAAGAGAAACCACATTCACAATCCAGTTTGTACATTCCTGCATCTTGTAGAGGGATATAATACTTGACGGATGGTAAAAATTGACTAATCTTCTTCCGCGCCTTGAAATATGTTTTAATGGAAGCTCGCTTCAAGATGTAACCAACCTTGGCTGTGACTCCTCTGACATAGGGTAGTACAGCAGGCACACGCTCGACTTTGGCCGGCTTCACTCGGTCACTGTGACGTAGGCGTGGGACCCGAAGCTTGTTGTCTTGCAATAATTGTTTTCTGCCACATATCCCTCGTGTTCCCTGAAACAAAGATTTACCCACGGTAACTAACTGTGATGGATAGTGGTGTGATTCACCATTTAAATATTGGTTGATATAGGTCTTTTTCTTATACACAGTGTGACCAGTAGTGTTATCAGGATTTCGGATGACTAAAACATCTAGGAAAGTTAAAGAATTGTTTGCCTCTTACTCCATTGTGAATATAATTTTAGAGTTTATGGTATTAAAGTGGCCTAAAAATGGATTTACTTTATCAGATGGTAAAATTGTGAAAGTATCGTTTACGTACCGCTTGTAGAATCTTGGATTTACAGGAGCAGTTAGAAGGGATTTCTCCTCAAAATCCTCCATGAATATGTCGGCGACTACGGGCATACAAGCGAGCCCATCGCCACACCATCTAATTGCTTGTAGAACACTTCCTTCCACAATAGATAGCAAGATGTGAGGAAGTGTTTGAGTAATACTGCATATTCAGTAGGCATGTTGTTATCTTCTAGCTTCCTAGTTACAATTGATATGCAGTCTCCAATATGTAAGCATGTAAATAGTGACTCAATATCAAAACTGACTATTGTTTCATTGTCAGCGAGGTATAGTTCTTTTATCTCACTAAGAAAATGGTAGGAATCCTTTGTGTGTGCTCTGGTGTATCCTCTCATTGGTGACAATATTTTTGCCAAGTGTTGAGCCAACTAATACGTTGGTGAATCGATCTGGCTTACTATGGGATATAGTGGAGCGTTTAGTTTGTGTATTTTCGGTAACCCATACAACCTCGGTGGTTTGGCACATGATGGTATTGTCGAATGCACGTTGAGTTTTAATTTCTCGGAGTATTTCTTTATTAAGTCGAAAGTTATTTTGAGTGTATTAGTTGTAGGGTCTATTTTGACCTTTTTGTATGTACTTATGTCCGATAAATGTTGTTATATTTTGAAATTATACTCTGAGGTGTCCATTATTACCGTAGCATTTCTTTTGTCTGCGCGGAGAATCGTGAGCTATGGTCTGTTTCGTAAGTTGTACAACAGCAGTTCCACTAGAGTTTCCACTAGCTTGTCTGTCATGTCGTCCACTGCATTGCAATCTTCTAGGCACTGAAATCGGTTTTGTAACTCAAGCTGAAAGGTTTCAGGACTTTGAATTTTTTTTTCGAAGGCTTTCTCTGCATTCTATATACTTCAGATATAATGGCAGACTTTACTCTTCAGTCTTCTGCTATAACCTACCGAAGACAACCAGCTTGATCGGGATGCTGGAAGTCATCGAGTTCGCGTGCGAAATGATTCGTAAGGACTCTTCGAAACAACACGTACAAGCAGCTCAGAAAGGAAATTGGTTCAATAAGAGTTTGAGAAGGGTACATTTACCATATTTCTGTTCCACGTATCCGACGTAGCGCCATCGTGAATTAAATAAATAAAAATTCGAAAATATTTTCATTCAAAAATATTTTGCCGTTATTCCATCCTCTCCGGGTACTTTGACGTTCTTAAGTTGTTGAAGAGCCATTCTTTGCGCTTGCTTTTTCAATAAAAGCTTTATTAAGGTCGCGTAAGTCTTGTAACATACACTTGGGGTGGCATTCAGGGACAATTTCAAGTTTAAAGCCAAACTAGGTCTAGACTCATATTTTGACATTGTGGAAATTTGAGCTTGAAATTGTCTCTGAATACCGGCCTTAGAGATTTGTTTGTTTAATATTCTGCAAGCCAACGTAATGGCGTTTGGGGATCATTACCAAACAATTGATAAATAGCCGGTATGTTTATTTATACCTGATATGTATGAACTGGTATACCTATCGACATAAGGTCTGTCTAGTATTTCTACAGTCCCATCTTACGATAAACAGAACAAAAATGGTGATAAATACAAATACTACACGTTTGTTATTACAAAACATCAATGGGACTATGTTCAGCAGTGGACTTTTGATAGGCAGTAATTTATGAATAAAAAGAAGATATTTATACTGTTGAAGTACATGTTATTGACACTATAACCTACAAATATATTATGATTTGCGATAAAAAATATTTCATTTATCTGATTGGTAAAGGATGTAATTGATGTGCTCAGATAGATTAAATGATAACATCCAAATTAATCTCGGCACATCACTTTATCTGAAATTGGAAGTTTCTATAAATTTTTAATTATATAAATATTATCTTTGATAACATTAATCTTAGATATTTCTGCAAGAAATATGAAATGAATTTTCAAATAAAAATAATTCTAAACCATTCAAGAAATAAAGCTGTTTTTCTAATTTTTATTAGAAAAGAGTGAAAAGTGACTTTCCTTGCATTCCTTGCAGACCTTGCATTCCACCAGATAGTAGTAGGTGACTACCGAAACCCATGTATTGAAAAGATAAAAAGATTGCTAGAAGTCTGCATAAAAAATTAATTCCTATGGCAGATCACGAAAATCTATTGATAACTGCAAAAATGAAAGATTACGATTATGTTACCACAATGCTGAACAAAATAACCATACCCTTCAATCTGGTAAAAAAAAAACCGCGGCAGTCGGTAATAGGGTTATATAGTTAAATCAGTTTTATTTAAATGTGTGGTGTTTGCGTAAATATAACAAATCATTATATAGTTAAGTCAATATAATATGAAAAAAGTTAAATGCTCAAAATAATGTAAGACATTAAATATAAAAGAAACATATCAAATAGAAAAAAACATTAAATAGAAAAGGCCATGCAAGAATTATGACGACTAGACGACAACTGTTTAGTGATTTCACAGTGATTGCGAGGGTGAAAATTAGTAGCGATCACCGAATGATTCGAGGCACACTGAACCTAAACGTTAAGTTGGAGAGATCTCGTCTATTGAAGTCAACGTTCCGTCCCCCTCGTACTCTAATTCAAAGTCCTGAAACCTTTCAGCTCGAGTTACAAAACCGTTTTCAGTGCCTAGAAGATTGCAATGCAGTGGACGACATGAAAGACAAGCTAGTGGAAACTCTAGTGGAACTGCTGTTGTACAACTTACGAAACAGACCATAGCTCACGATTCTCCGCGCAGGCAAAAGAAATGCTACTTCGATTCGTTCGAAATTCGTGAGGTGCTGAATTACTTGTATAGTAGCGCTACGATGTCTGTCCGAAAACAGAATCTGAGTACGAAACCTACCAATCATGAAGTGGTGATGTTAAATCGATGAAACTTTTCACTGCTGCTTTGGAAGACTTTTTCAAGCTACTGGACTAGAAAGTTATCTCACGTGTCCTACGGTTTGTCAGATCGTTGAATTACTTCAGCTTATGATAACCTCAACAGTGTCTCCCAACGGATGGACCTTACAATGTGCATGGTTAAAACCACATGCACAAACACATCCAAATAGTTATTATAAATAGTTTTTGGAAACACTTCTCTTGAAGTTGTTATCGAGTATTTACCTTATTTTCCCTAGGACAAAAGGTAAGAACAACGTTGACCAATGGCAACCAAGGTCAACCAACGAATCCATCTCGGCTAGGCTGCATTCGGGAAACTGCGACATTTCTTCGTGTCCGATATTCCTCAGAACTTTAATACATTCATATACAACTAGTACGTATTGCCAGTGATATCTCACAGAACCGAAATGTGGTCCTTCACCGCTGGTCATAAAAGAAAATTAATCTTAATATCTACTTGACGTACTAGTCTAGCGTTTGTAATAATCTTCCAGACCAAATTTCGGTCATGACGACCATCTGCACAGGATAGGATTATAGTGCCCAAATGTATAATAATAATAATTATTTATTTCAATAAACAGTACAATTAATTACACAGAGACCTAAACTAGGGTAAGCCGGTATCTCGGGTGTATATGCTAATAGCTTTATTTGTTAATGTATACAAATGTTTTCTGTTTCTTATATTAAATGAATAACATACCAACTTATTAGGGTTAATTTCGCTAAAATGCACTAGAACAGGTACACTCTCTATTCCTCCAACTCTCATAGTCCGATGGGGCACCAACCCGACAAGACCGGAGAGAGATCAGTGCCTGTGAACTTCGTGCTTTCCGAAACATGGGGGTGAAACACCGCCAACATTCTGACTCCGGGCTGCTTCTAAGTATTTCCTGGCAGAAAAATCTAATAACTGATTTTGGCCTGACCTGGGATTCGAACCCAGGATCACCACACCAACGAGGCAGCGAATAACATTTGTAATAAAGTTTTTATAAAACTGATTTTTTAAACTGAAATAGGCAAAGGTCTGTTAAATAATATAAATTTTTGTTCACTTAGCCTTGTATTTTATTTTTTGCGAACCATTAAAATCATTTATCAAGTGATAACACATTTTAACTAAGATTGATAATATAGGATTTACACGATAATACTGTTCAATAAATACGGTTGAACATCCCAATTGCGATATTGTGTAACCAGTCATGAAGCTGCTAGTGGTCTTTCTCCCATTATTAGCATGTAAGTATAAGACAAAAATAATTGTTAAACAAGTTTATCCTTAACAATTAGAGCTGTTTTTGTGACTTTCCACCTTAAGTTACAATATAAAAATATTAGATTAAAAAATACGGGTCACTTATTCGAATTCCATTGTGCAAAAATACATATTGATTATTTTTCAATATGTTATTCATTTAATTTTTTTTTTCACCTTATAAGTGACGTAAAGAAGAACGGACGTACTTACTTCTCTGACATAAAAATATAACAATGTATATAATAATACAAATTAGCCACTGCTGATCTCTCTTAATAATTCATCCATTTACTAGAAGTTATTCACTGAGAATGAATATATAGTGCTCGTGGCGCAGTCTTAAAACTTACACGGACGATGCGCGTTTTGTGATTCATGTTCAACCTCCGCTTTTGGGGAATAGATGGGTTTGTAGAAATTTTCACCAATGACCAGTTGACAGTTTCATTGTTATAAGAAAGTTTATTTTAATGAAGTCATAAAAGTCGTATTTTTCGCAACTAGAAAATGCTTTATTTCTCCTTTTGAAATCGTAACATTCAACTTCTGGCCGTTAACCTCTAAGGCCACTTAGTTAGGAGGATTTTTCGTTACCGCTACTATTTGAGCTATATGTGCCAAAGGTGTCACTGATCTGGTTATTTTACACTGGAATATATATTTATACGTGAACAAATAGATCATTCTTCACCACTATTTTTATTAAACAAATTATTTTATTACGGAATTTTAAATAAACCTGAAATTTACAACACTTTTTAATTCAGTGTGCTACGGGATACCGTTTAGCGTTATCCCTGGGGATAACAGTCACTATGTAGAGGGTCAAAGCCGATTCATATGGATGCCGGATGGCAAAGGAGTACCACACCTAGTTGACCTAGATGAACCTGTCAACGAGGAAATTTTAAGAACCAGAAATGGAGCTAACAATCAATACTGGCTATACACAAGGTACTTAATTATAATTATAATCAGTAATTTTGTTATAAGCCAATTCTTGACTACAATCATACTTAAAAGTAACTTAAGTCTATTCAGGACTAAAAGTAATAAGATTCTTTTTACATCTTATAAACCAAACTGTAACAACAGTAACACCTGAACAAATACAGCTAAAACGCCTGATCAGACCTGTTTTGAAATTTAACACAATGTTTTTTTTTTCAGACGTAATCCTAAAAACGCACAAAAACTTGTTAACGGTAACGCTGACTCTGTACGTAACTCCAACTACAACCGAAATCGACCACTGAAAGTGATCGCCCACGGCTGGAACAATGATGGAAACTCGGACGTAAACACACGTTTAACTTCCGCTTTCCTAGATACACAAGACGTCAACGTAATTGTCGTTGACTGGCGCGGATTGGCAAGTTCAAATTACATTACATCTTCGAACGGCGTACCTAGCGTTGGACAGCATCTTGGCAACTTTTTAGTTTGGCTTATTAACACTGCTGGTGGTGATTGGAACAACGTCCATTTAGTCGGCCACAGTCTAGGTGCTCATGTTGTGGGTAACGCTGGACGTACCGCCGGAGGCAGACCTAGACGTGTTACCGGTTAGTCAAGTTTTAACCAATTTTCGTTTGATTTTTAATTTTTATACTTGATTGCTTTGCAAAATTTATGCAGTAATCAAAACAATTAATTTTAGGTATGGATCCGGCTGGTCCTAGATTTGGTGGTAACTCAAATGCCTTAAACACCAACTCTGGTCGGTACGTCGAAAGCATTAATACCGATGGTGGACTCCTCGGAATCATGGATCCTATTGCACATGCAAACTTTTACCCCAACGGCGGTAGAAATCCTCAGCCGGGTTGCTGGATCAGTACCTGCTCTCACAGTCGGTCCTACGAGCTCTTCGACTCCAGTGTACGCACAAACCACTTCGTTGGAAGACGATGCAACAACCTAAATGAAGCTGAAAACAACCGATGCTCTGGTGGTAGTCTGAATATGGGAAATGACAATATGTCAAAATCTGGGTAAATACATTGATACATATATTTCTACTAAAGCTAAACAATTATTTTTCAGAATTAAACGAAGACATCTTTGAAACAAATTATAGTTAATTAAAATTTTCATCATTAACTAAAAATTCCTCTGCTTGACATGGGCCTTTCCTATAAGGAGGATATTTGCCATAGTTGCCAGGCTTGGCAACCGGATTGGCAACCACAATTTTTAATATATCACGCCATGTATGTGTGAGGGCCATGCTCGGGGATTCTCTGCGTGATAAACTTAGAAATTAGTATATCCGCAGTAGAACCAGAGTAACCGACATAGCCCAACGGATAAGTAAGCTAAAGTGGCAGTGGGCCGGCCATATAGCTCGAAGAACCGACAACCGATGGGGAAGAAAGGTTCTTGAGTGGCAGCCTCGTACCGGTAGGCGAAGTGTAGGGCAACCCCCCACGAGATGGAGTGACGACCTGGTAAGACATGCAGGAACTCGATAGATGCAGGTGGCTCAGGACCGTGCTTTGCGGCATTCCCTAGGGGAGGCCTATGTTCAGCAGTGGACTTATGAAAGGCTGTAATGATGATGTATACATTACGGGGTAGTTCAGGGACTTAGCTGCCAACACCAATTATATTGTTTATTTTATCAGAACTTGAACGCTAATTTACAACCTGCTCGGAAGGGAATGAAAACATTGCGAGGAAACCTGCATGAAGAGTAAAATATTTCGAGGACATATGAAATCCGCCACCATCCACTGGAGCAGCGTAGCAGACTAATTGCTCTATAACCCTCTCAAAAATAAGAAAAGGCCTATATCCAAGAGCAGGACGATTTTAGGCTGCGATTTGACCTTTAACTTTTGTTTAAAAAATATCTCCAACTCATGTTTTTGTTTCGGGTTGGCTTGCGCCATCATTTTATAACGAATTATTTATTGAGTTACATATCGGTATACTATATTTATATATTGCTTTCAGATCTGGTCTCTATGGTCTCACCACTGGCAGCTCCTGGCCTTACTAAGCAATCGGAATATAAATAAAAAAAATATCTCCAAATTCTTATATTATTTTCAGAAATTTCCTTTACCATTCCTCAATATCCTGTTTCTTTCTTTGAAATTTAATATTGTGATCGATTAAAAAAATAGTATCTACAACATTAAATTATACTATATACTATATTACACCTAAGTAAAGATGTATTTTGTGAAATGAAGTTGTAAGCAAATAACTATAGTCGTTGATACATGGAGAAAATAAAATGCAATTTAAATAATTAATTATATTCTTAGCCCACGAATTTCAGTGGCAGGTCTCAACGGAAACTAATCACTTGCGCAGGACATGATTAAAGTGTACGAGTGTATTCGCAAGCACAGGTGCAAATAAACACGTGGTAGAGCCATGCTTCAGCTATAGTAGTAGTATAGTTGTAGCACGAATGTTATATTAAATACGAATGTCATATAAAATAGTAATGAAAAATTACGTGGTGGCTCCTTAATATTAGCAGATAAGTCATTATTATATAAAGAACGTAAGGATATTGTGAGCCTCTCTGTTAAGCGAACTGTAGAAATGGCTTGTGTCGAGCTCGAGCACCTCATTGTTGTAAGTGTTTACAGACCTCCATGTGCTACTTATGACTATTTTGAAAGGATTGTGGAAGAAGTTTTACTCAAACTTAGTAAACGGAACAAGTCTGTTGTAATATGTGGAGACTTTAACATCAATCTCTTTGAAACTTCTTCCATTAGTATCAAGTTTAGCTCATTGTTTAAATCGTATAATCTTGTTAATTTATTCTTAGAACCAACACGTATTGCTTGGCCTATTGTGACCTGTATAGATAACATTTTTACAGATGTTAAGTCCTTGCATAAATCAATTATTCAAAATTTAAGTTCAGAACACTGTGGACATTTGGTATCACTACCTTACATACACAAAAAAAAAACAGAAAAATAAGAAAGTTGTGTTTCTTCCAATAAATGAACCTCGCTTGGAGAGGTTTAAAAGTAATATAATAAAAAGATTTCCATCACTTTCCTTTAAAAATAGTGCTAATTATTTGTATGCTACATTATTTAAAATTATAAGTTGTGAATTTAGTAGAATATTTACTTCTAAAACTCTCTCTTTTAACAGTCGCAAATCATTTAATGAATGGGCGACAGTAGGAATTTATAAAAGTAGGCGAAGGTTATACAAGCTTTATGATGAAAGATCATATAATAGTAGTGTTATATTTAGAGATTATGTAAAAACATATTCTAAAATATTTAATAATAATAATAATAATTTATTTGATACAGACAACACAGATCCATTGCAAAATTAAAATTAAAATTTTAAACTATACCTTACATTTTAATTATAATTATTGGTTAGTCAATGATATTATTACATTTTATTAATAACATTTTAATAAATTTGACCATCTACTAAAAATTTCACTACATGCAAATAATTTTGATGAGATTATTCTGCGACCCAAAAACAAAACTTCTAAATCGCGCGATACGGTGACGGATCAACGCATCCAAACCAACGACACGGGCCTCTGCGAACATCTGAGACGCGCTACAGTATCATGGCTGACGGAACAACACGCGGAACGAATCATTATACTGCACCTTCAGCCTGCGATATTCCTCTTTAGTGTAATTCGTCCGCAGCTGAGGAGTGTAGAGTGGCTGACAGTAAGCTGAAAACGACGCCAGCTTTGAGGTATAAGAACACCTTTGAAAGCATCTAGCTATCATGTTGGCACGCACTGACAAGGAACGACGCTCGCGGTCCATATCGGAACCATCACACAGATCCTGAGTAACAATATGACCCAGGTATTTAAACGTCGTTACCCACTCCAATTGTGAATTACACAAATACAATGGGGGGATATGAGGTTGAACCCTACCACTCTTAAAAAGCAAACAAACAGACTTGTTGGTGTTGTACAATAGGTTATGATCCATTGCATATTTCTCACATATCTGGAGTAGTGCACGCAGCGCACCAATTGAGGGACTCAGCAGCACCATATCATCAGCATAACTCAAGTTATTAAAGCATTCAGAACCAATGTGGCAACCCAGTTTGGTGCTTCTAAGCTCCTCGATCAGCTGATTAACATACAGATTAAAAAGCATAGGCGATGTTAGCCCTCCCTGCCTCACACCACATTGTGGGAAAAATTCCTCAGAGTATGTATCACACCACTTTACTACATTAATTTGCCTACTATACCATGCGATCAATATGTTAATACATAATGACGGCACTCCCGCATCACGTAACTTCCTCCAAAGTATATCATAACTGACTCTGTCAAAAGCCTTACTTAAGTCAAAGAAACATGCATAAATATTTGTTTTCCGCTTATTATAACTAACGGTTTGCTTTAAAGTAAAAATCGCCGCATCCGTAGAACTATCTTTTTTAAATCCAAATTGAGCATCGCTAATTTGTATATATTTGGAAATAACGCCTAATAATATGGTGTCAAACAGTTTAGCACAAGTTGTAGCTATGGATATCGGTCTATAATTATCACTGTCGGTCAAACTACTCAATTTACATTTAAGAACAGGACTTATTACCGTTTTTAGCATTTCTACCGGTAAGTAAGCATGCTTTATACAAGCATTGAAAAATACAGATAGGAACGCAATTACCCATGGTCCTCCAAACCGAAGATGTTCCACGCTTATATTATCATATCCTATCGCCTTCCTAGTTTCATCTGGCGCAGAGCATTAAAGATCATCTCTTCAGATACATGAATGTCCTTGCCATCTGCTACACGATATTGATTATGAAAAGTACAGTGTCCTGCACTTAACGCAAGAAATTTGTCCCTAAACAAGTTTGCAATCGCCAGTGTATCCGTCAGACCATCCACAGACTCCGTAATCTTAGACCCGGTCTTAAGTAAATTTCCCGTATCTTTCCAAAATTAACTAAAGTTTCTACTTAAACAAGATGCCGAAATCTTATCTAAGATTATTTTATCAGCGGAATTGTGGCAAAATCTTAACCTACTTTTAAAAATAGTTCGCGTTCTTTTCATTTAATCGAACAGCGGACCAGAAGAAGGCGCCCCAGCCTTTAACCACCCAGCTAGAGCTTGCCGTGCCTTCATGTGTGCCTCGCGTACATACTCATTCCATCCCGGAACAGGGGGCCTCTGGAACACATGCTGAGACGCGCGACGTGTGGCCGCGTGAATTATACAACTAATAAAAGAGTTATACAAGCTATCTAGGTATTTGCGATGTTCAGTACATGTACAACTATAACACTTAGCAGATAAATGCCTTAACCTCTCCCAATCCAAGTTATGTATATACTCAGAACAAAGAGAGGAATAAAATTCAATTTCGAGACCATTTCTTTTACCCCATTTTGACAAGTCGTTACATTTCGGTAAAGCAACGTTATTATGCACCACGTTAAAGGTCAAATTAATGTTGCATTCAACACACAAAGGCTTATGGTCGGACCACATGACGTCTTCCAAAACATAAACGTTGGTTACAGTATCCCATGCCTGCCGTGTAGTTACACAATGATCCAACCAACTTTTCAAACCATGAGCATAGCTAATATACGTAAAGATACCATTTTTGGGTCGCAGATATTCATAATCAGCACACACCAAATCATTATCTGTACAAAAATTAAATAACTCTAAACCAAACAATGTATTCACATCTGCGTTAAAATCACCTAAAATAAAAGCATAATTAATATCCTTATCTAAGATAATTGATTGAATAATACTTAAAATATTCGTGAAATCAGTTAAATTTTCATAATTATTTTGAGGCATATACACAGATACACATAAATATTTATTAACACACATTTCGAAAATAACTGCACATAAACTAGAATTGTTACAATCAACAATCTCCACTTTATTAAACATCGACGATCTCCACAATAACCCAACTCCTCCATAGGGCCTACCCCGTAACATACCTTGTGTGACATCTACAGCTGAAATACCATGACTAGAAAATTTGATATGTATAGTGTTTAAGTAAGGAATAGCATCGGGTAATAACCAGGTTTCCTGCAATGCTATTATATCAAAGTCATTACATAATTCCCGTACTTGTTCAACACTTCGCCTGATTGATTGACAATTAAAGGAACAAAGTTTCATAGTTAAACTATATTAATACTAACTAGATTAAAAATGCTATCGAAATAATGAATATCACTTAAAATTCCTAATATTACTAATATTACAATTACTAATGTCTACTGAATTTCACTACTTTGAGACCCTTCTACATCTCTTTTTTGTCTCCAGAAATTTACAAAACGCCGAAATGCTATTCCCTCCGGCCAAAGTCCTTATTCAGATATATATCTAGTTTATTTCTAGGTACAAATATTTTATATGCATCGTAATCCTTTTTAACCTTCATATTCATTTTTTCAATGGTCACTTCAATGTTAGATTTATTCCTAATGTAGCGTGTTATGTCACATACAGATACATCCTTCGATACGTTATAAATATATAAAGGAATCTTTATGTCAGCCGCTCTGAAATGGGCATTATCGTCCACCATAGCATTTCCTCTATTCCCAATAAAACGATTCCTTCTTCTTCTTTTCTGTACTTCAATCCATTCTTCGCTACGAGTCTCCGGCTTCCATTGTCCATTACGCACAATATCTGCAAAACATCTTTCTTTGGGAGTTGTGTCTAATGCGGCGGCCGTGTGTCCCTCCACCGACACGAGATCGGGTTGCTTTGGCCTATGAATCATAGGTTCGAGTTGGTCCGCGGCTGATTTGTTGTTAGTTATCTCAGCTGGAATGTTTTTACCACTACCGTCTATATTGATAGTTGAACATACATCGTTGCAATATTTCTCAGATTGAATTATTGATTCACAAATATTCGTATAGCACTTTTCGTCACTCACTTGCCCTTTGTTTAACGAACTTGAGATTATATCATTTAATTCTGTTGATTTTACATATGAACATTGAATCGTA